AAAAAAAAAAAAAAAAAAAAGAAGTCTGAAACCCAGGAGTTGGAGAATCTGTTCCATCCTCTGTCCTGGCTTCCAGTAGGATTGCCTGCAGTTCTTTGTGCTCCTTGGCCTGTATAAGTGCATCAGGCCAGTCTCTGCCTGTGTCACTTTGCCACCTTCCCCTGTGTTGCACTTCACCATCTTAAGCAGGCGCCAGTCACTGAATTTGGGACCCACTCTAATCCAATCCGAATCCAGTAGCCTTCATTGTAACTAATTACATGTCCAAGACCCTGTTCCAAATAAGGTCACATTCTTTCTTTATTTTGTTTAATTTTTATAGAGATGCAGTCTCACTATATTGCCCAGGCTGGTCTCGAACTTCTAAGCTCAAGTGATCTCCCGCCTCGGCCCCCCAAAGTTCTGGGATTATAGGTGTGAGCCACCATGCCTGGCTAAGGTCACATTCTGAGGTTCTGAGTGGGCATGGAATTTAAGAGGACACTATTCAACCCGGGACCACATCCCAAATGGAACGTGTCCTAGCCACGTCTCTCAGTTCCGTGTCCTCTATCCACGCCTTCCCTATCACCACCCCCCTTGCAATTCCCGTCTCAGGAACTGGCCCCCAAATCCACACAGCTTTCCAGGGATGGTGGCTCATGCCTATAATCCCAGTGCTTTGGGCGCCTGAGACAGGAGGATTGCATGAGCCCAGGAATTTGAGATCAGCCTGGGCAACAGAGCAAGACCCTGTGTCTACAAAAATATTAAAAAATAAGGCGTTCAAAAAAACAAATAAGGCATTCATGGTGGCACATGCTTATAACCCAAGCACTTTGGGAAGCCAAGGCGGGAGGATTGCTTAAACTCAGGAGTTAAAGACTAGCCTGGGCAATAGAGGGAGACCTTGTCTCTACCCAAAATGGAAAAGTTACCCGTGTATGGCAATGCATGCCTATGGTGCCAGCTACTTGGAAGGCTGAGGTGGGAGGATCTCTTGAGCCTGGGCAGTTGAGGCTGCAGTGAGCTGTGAATACACCACTGCACTCCAGCCTGGGTAACAAAACAAGAGTAAGACCTTGCCTCAAAAAAAAAGCCAAGTGCAGGGGCTCACGCCTGTAATCCCAGCACTTTGGGAGGCTAAGGTGGGTGGATCACCTGAGGTCGGGAGTTTCAGACCAGCCTGGCCAATGTGGTGAAACCCTGTCTCTACTAAAGATACAAAAATTCAGCTGGGCGTGGTGGCAGGCGCCTATAATCCCAGCTACTTGGGAGGCTGAGGCAGGAGAATTGCTTGAACCCGGGAGGCGGAGGTTGCAGTGAGCCAAGATCACGCCAGTGTACTCCAGCCTAGGCAACAGGGCCGAGACTCCGTCTCAAAAAAAAATCCTCTTGACCTTGCCTTCAAAATAACATGTATTCCCACAGCTGCCTCCCTGGGCCGGGCCCCGTGCCGTGGACAGCGCTCTGTTGCATCTTCTGTTCCTCCAAAGTCCATTCTCCACACTGAATCTAGTCTTTTTTAAAATATCTTTTTCGCCGGGCGCGGTGGCTCAAGCCTGTAATCCCAGCACTTTGGGAGGCCGAGGCGGGTGGATCATGAGGTCAAGAGATCGAGACCATCCTGGTCAACACGGTGAAACCCCGTCTCTA